TAATCATGTGCTAATGTTTATTGATCTATATTCTTATCTTATCTCTCCTTCTGGTACAGATGTTCTACACAGGCAGTCATCTTTATTTTCAATAGTAGCTACTTTGTACATATAGTAGGTATTCTGGAAATGTTTGCTGAGTGAATCTAAGAATAAACGAATGAATAAATGACTTATCCACAATTTCCCGTAAGCTCATAATAGATTGATTCACACCTGTGTTCTGAGAAGCAAGCAATACAAAAAAAAAAAATTCCTCCAATGTTTATAGGCCCAGAATCATTGGAAGAGATCTCAGAGGACTGCTAGTTCAACTTATACCTGACCACAAATTCCTTCTGTAACTTGCCAAGCAAGCCGTACAACCTTTGCTTGAAGATGGGAAAAAAAACACTGGCTCTGAAGTCAAATAATCTGGAATCAAATCTTACCTCTAACTCTTACTACTTGTGATTCTTTTCTTCCTTATCAACTGCTTCTCCTTCCTGGTCAAACCTCTACCCTGAAGCTTCACTCTTCTGTGATGATTACCTTCCTGGGCCACTTCTCCTCCTCTTCCTTGCCAAACATGTTGGCCTGATGTGGATACCTGTCCTCTCCCCTCACTGCTTTTCAGATGCTTTTTACATGTTGTCTTCTTCTGTCAGAATGTAAGTTCCTTGAGGCTAGGGACTATCTTGTTTGCACCATGCCTAATAAGTAATAAACACTAAATGCTCTATCTATCTATCTATCTATCCATTCATCCATCCATCCATCCATCCATCCATCCATCCATCCATCTTTTTGTGTGACCTTGGACAAGCTGATCATTTTCCTGGGCCTCAAAACATAACAAACCTAATCCCTATTTCAGGAGAAAGTCTTTCAAACCCTAAAAGTCAGCTATCATGTCTTCCTGGTCTTTTTTCTAAAAAAAAACAAAACATTTTCAGTTCCTTCAAATGATCCCTGTAGTGCCTAGTCTCCTGCCTGCTTAAAACCTGGTTGCTCTCTTCTGGTCACTCTCTAGATTATCAATAATCTTCTTAAAATGAAGTGCCCAGAATCACAATATTCCACATGTGATCTGACCAAGTAAGAGTACAGGGAAACTAACCCCTTTCTGTGTTTTGGACTCTGCATCTCTTAATGCAGCAGCCTTAGACCACATTAGCAGCATTACATGCAGCAGGGAAACACTAAAAACTTGCCAAATAAATATAGGAATTAAGTAAGGATGCCCCCATTCTCCATTGGTATTTGGTACAGTGCTAGAAATCCTAACAGTAGCCATAAGAGAAGAGAAAGAAATTAAAGGCATAACAAAATTATCCCTATTTGCTGATGACATGATGGTTTACTTAGAAAATCCTAGATAATCAGAAAAAAACCCTGAGATAATCAATAGTTTCAGTTAAGTAGCAAGATACAGAGTAAATCCATGAAAACTAAAAGCATTTCTGTATAGCAATAACAAAATACAGAAGGACATAATAAAAAGTCTCATTTAAAATAATTACAAAATACACAAAATATCTAGGACTCATTCTCCTACAAGAAGTAAAGAGTCCATGAGCTTTTGGGGGAGCTCTGTTAACACTACTGATTCCTATTTAGTCTAAATTGCACTTAAAACCCTCAGGTCTTTTTTAGACAAATAATTCTTTAGTCATGGGTTCCCCAAACTCGTACTTACAAATTTGATTTTTGGAACCCAAGTGTAAGATTTTCTTTTCATCACTCTTAAATTTCATTTTATTAGATTGGGCCCATTCTAACTTATCAAAATATTTTTGTATCTTGACTTTGTCATCTAGTGCTCTAAATATCCTTGCCAGCTCCATGTCAAATAAAAATGTAAAATAATCACCTTATAGATTCACTGAGATCCCTGATAAAAATGCTGAGTACAGCAGAACCAAGGGCATATCCCTGGGGCATTCCGCTGGAGAGATCTTGCTGCAAGTTGACATTAAGCCTTTAAAGTCTACTCTTTGGGTCTGGTCATGTAACTATTCAACTCAAACTTTATTCAAACTTTTAAAATTTAAAGTGACATTAGAGATAATTTAGTTCAACCCTCTGCATTTTACAAATGGGGAAACTGAAGACACTAGATTTGGAGTCTGAGGGATGTGGTCCAAATTCTTACTACTTGTATGACCTTGGGCAAGTGGCCTTGGACTCCTTAGGTCTCTTTAGGCCTCAGCTACCTCGCATGTAAATGAGGGGTCTGGACAAGGCAAATTCTAAGGTTCCTTTCATTTCTGTGCTCCTATGCAATGGCAGAACTGGGACGTGGCTGGACTCAGCCCTGCCTGACTGTCGGGCCAGGTTTCTCCCTGCTCCACCAGGCAGCCTCTTTTGCTTGATTCCCCTCCTCTTTAGATGGGACCGGGTCATGTGCCCACGGGCCTGCCAGAGTGGACACACTTCGCTCAGGATGAAGAGGCAGGAGCAAGCTCAGCTGGGACACGTCAAGTTCTAGTTTCAATCTGACCACAGCTTTCACTGCCACCTCCTATTACTCCAATTCTGGAACAACACAACACAAGAACTCAGACAGACAAAGAAACCTGCAAATGCCCCCACTCGTCACAACAATGACCCACCAAGAGAAAGGCCCCGGGTGGGGCACTGGCTGCCCAAGCCACAGTGCTCCTCTAATCCTCAGCATCTCCCCTGTCCACACTCTGCTTCCTAGCACAGAGAGGCTGGCACGATCTATTACATGCCCTCCCGGCTCTCTGGTGCTGGCAGACTTGAGGGCCACACAGCTCGGTTGTTTCTCGTAGCCCAGTTAGAAAGGGAACGCACCACATACGAGGTGCTGCCTGCACCTTGTGTTCTGAAGCTCATCGTCCTCCCTACAATATGGATCCACAGCACTTCTGGTGCAGAGATAGGTAACTGGGTGGCACAGAGGGGCCTCTCATAGCTGGCTTTGTTGTTGTTGTTCAGTTGTTTCAGTTGTGTTCAGACACAACTCTTTGTGACCTCTTTTGGGGTTTTCTTGGCAAAGACACTGGAATGGTTTGCCCTTTCCTTCTCCAGCTCATTTTTCAGGTGAGAAACTGAGGCAAACAAAGTTAAGTGACTTGTCTAGGGCAACAGTGTCTGAGGTCAAATTTGAACTCAGGTCTTCTTGACTCCAGGCCCACCGTTCTGGGTACCTTCTGCTATGCTTTTGCTTTGGGCTGTTTAAGATGAACTTCAGCAAAATTTAAAGAAGAAGGAATGATGAGGGCAATAGAGGGGCCCAGTGCTACAGAGAGCCGAAAGAACGCTTATCTGAGAGGAATGCGTGGTGAGGAAGAGGTGGCCCAATAGACTGAAATGACATTACCAGTCAAATGAGTCAGAACCTTGAAGCGCACTCATTCACTCAACAAATATTTGTTATGGGTTTTGTGTAAAGCACTTGGCTAGGCACCATGGATGCAAGAATAGATATGGCACATGGCCTGCTCTCAAGGAGTTTACAATTTAGTAGGGAAAAAAGACAGAAATGCAAATTAAGAGAGGCAGCATGGGATAGCGGATAGAACATTGGACTCTGGATTCAAATCCTGCTTCAGATACTTACTGCTTACATGACCATGGTCACATCACTTAAATTCTCTGGGCTTCAGTTTCCTCAGCCATAAAATGAGTTTGGACTCTATAATGTCCCTTCCAGCCCTAAGGCCTTCATTCTAAGAAATGTGATACACATGAGAGTGAGGTAAGGGCAAATGAGAGAGGCAAACAAAGAACTACAAGAACTTTGAGGAAGAAAAGGTAATTTCAGCTAAGAAAGTAAATGAAGGCTACATGGAGGATATGGATTTCAACAGATGGGAGATGGAGATAGAGACATCCAGATATAGGTCATAGTATGAGCAAAGGCACAGAAACTGGAGAGGGAAGAAAAAATGTTTATTAAATTGAATTGAAAAAAAAAAACTGATATTGGAGAATAGTATCATTGGGCTGGAATGTAGTCAGTCAATTAACACTTATAAGCAGCTACTATGTGCCAAGCACCGTACTAAGTGCTGGGGATACAAATGGAAAAAAAAAATGAGTCTCTGCCCTTAAGAAGCTTACAGTCTAACGGGGGAAGACAGAAAAGGAAGCTGAAAGGGTGTGGGGGAGAGGAGAGGAGAAGGAAGGTATCCCACAAGGGGACATGGTAAGGAAATCAGAGACGATCCAAAGCTGTGCAGCTGGGTGAGAAAAGAGATGACTGACCTGGGCTCCCTCCTCAGATGGAGGTTTGGGCTTTATGGCCACCTCCTCCCCAATCAGAAGGGCAGAGAGCAGTGATGAGGTGGAGTATCAGGGCTCTAGGGATCTCTCAGAATGAGAGCTTCCTGGGGCATGATGGAGAGAAATCAGTCAGAGAAGCCCCGATGTGGTACAGCCAGGTCAGAAATGAGATGTCTTTGGGGGAAGGGGGGGCTCCTTCTTTAAGAGGAGCAGGCAGATTACTGGAAGGAAATGGAACAAGGTAAGAAGGAAAGGTAGGGTAGTGCCATATCACAGAGAATCTTGAATGCCATGATCACTTAATTCAGTAGGCAATGGGGAGCCATTGAAAGTTTATGGGGTGAAGGGTAACATATGAAAGCAGTGTGTAAGAAAAATTACTTGGGCAGTAATGTGGAACATAGATTGAAAAGGAGCTAAATTATAGGCAGGAAGACCAGTAAGGAGGCTATTTCAGTCTTCTAGGAAAGAAGGGATGAGGGCCTGAAGCAGGGCAGCTGCAGTGGGGGTGAAAAGGAAGACAGAGATACAAGGATAGTTTCCTCGTTCAGGGACTGGTCAGATGGTCTAGAGATGTTTTCAAGATATAAGGATCCTGAAATGACATCATTCAAGAACACCCTCAACTGAGTGATAATTCAGCTTCTTTCCTCCACGTTAACTGTAGGCAATATACCATGTATACTATTCAAAGAAAATACTATAGCTTGTTTTATTCATTAAAAAAAGACTGAAGAGATAATAAAATAGGATATAACTTTACATACCTTGTTCCCACTGTACTCAGATTTTCCCTGTAAGAAAAACAGAGACAATTAAGCATTTTTTAAAATGTTAAATAGCTTACATCTAAAGAACTTTTAAGTTTGCAAAGGCTCAGAAAGGTCAGTCAGCGTGACTTTACCAGGGTCAACCTGCTTGTATCAGAGCTAGGATTTGAATCCAGGTCCTCTAAATTCAAAATGAACAGTTCTTTGTATTTTAACAACATCACACGAGGCCTCCTCTCCAGAGCTCTGAGGCCTCCTAGGATCAAAGATGCACCTCACACATCCCTCTCTGCATGAATGAAGCCTGTTTTTATGCCTTCAGCTGCTTCTAGTGTGCTGCCCACAAGTACCTGGTATTTGTTGTCTTTAGGGTTATCCTGTAGCTGTTCAGAGACGTACATGCTTGTAATCGCCTCTGAATAGAATGAAAGCTCATTGAACATAGAGATGCTGCGGTTCTTTGTACTGGTATGCCCATGCTAAGCAAAGTGAATGGCACAGAACAGCTGATAACTGCTTAATCGTGAGGCAGAAGGGATGTCACAAATGATCAAGCCCAATCCCCTCATTTTCCAGATAAAAGGAAGGAGAGAGGCTTGCTGGATATCATACAGATAATGAAGAGCAAAGTTGTTCATAGATTTAATAACAGGCTACAATTCAGGAACCAGAAGGTACCTTTGGCCAGGTCTGGCCAGAAACCTCTGACTGATCCTAACAGGATGGGAAGGCCCTCTGCACAGACACAGACCGTGGACTTGCTCTCCAAGAATTAGTGTAGCTAAATGTAGATAGTCACATTATACAGTTAGGCATCAGTGGACACACTTTTTTGGCCAGAGGAATTCATAAAGAACATTTATTTAAGGTTTAAAGGAGCCACAATCTGCTGGACCCACAGAAGACCCACAGAGATGAAATTACAGATCTTTCAAAGAATTAAAGTATTTGAAAGACACAAGAGCCTATGTGGGTTTAAATCACAGAATGTCAGAGACAAAAGGGACATTAAGGATCATCTAATCAAAGGTTTTTAACCTTTTTTGCATTCTGGACCCCTTTGGAAGTCTAGTGAAGTCTAAGGACCCTTTCTTAGAATATTGCTTTTAAATGCATAAAATAAAATATATAGGATTACAAAGGAAACCAATTATACTGAAATATAGTTATCAAAATATTTTAAAAATAAATTCATGGGCTTAAGTTCATGGTTAAGACTCCAACCTTTCCACGTTACAGATGACAAAAGTGAGATTAGAAGAAGAGAAATGACTTATCTGAAGGCACACAATTAAGGCAAAACCAGAACCCCAGTCCCCAAACTTCTAGTCCTTGGATACTTTCCACTATGACATAAGAGTGTCATTGACTCTCCCAAGCAAATGCCTTGAGGAATTGTAAGGGATTTCCAAGGAATTATTTACACACAAAAGATTGCTCACAAATTACCAGTGTAAGGAAAATACTATTAAATCCCAAAGTGTTATAAAGAGGATTAAAAGTAATATAAGGGTTTGCTTTTCCCCAAAGCCCAAGATAACAACCCTGGTAGGCAGAAGGCCTGGATTCTAGGCCTGTCTGAAGCCCTATCTGTGTGGCCCTGGATTTGTCAGCCCTCTGCTCTTTGGCTCAGCGTTCTTTCCCGTCAAATGGCAATAGCAGTTTGCAATTGTAAAACAAGACAGAAATAAGAGCTGTTATTATCATCATCTCATAATTGACAGGGAATTCAGACAGCTACACAATCAGTTCTTTAAAGAAGGTAGTTTTGAACTTTTCAGAAAAACAAAACTCCTCTTACAAAATCTTGCATTATTCCACTTAGTAATGTCTAGTCCCCAAACATTTACAGCGGTCAAAGTCCAGTATGTCTAACATGCCAGTTTAAGGGAAAAAACAACAACAGCAAAACACAGCAAAAAATCAGAAACTGAGCCTACAACTGTAATGTGTTGTGTTTTTCCATCTCTGGTTTTGAGTTTAAACTATTTCAGCCATGTGCAGGGGTAAACTTAGAGGCGGAAAAAGGCAACCTCTGGAGTGAACCAATTAACCTCAAATGGAAGAGCTGACAGGTCCATGACTACACCCAGAAGCCAACTGATGTTGCCTGCTGACCTCTGTGGGCGAGGGAGATAAAAGGGAATGGAAACTAAGAATCCCATGATTAGTCCCCTTGGGATGAGTTAGGGAAAGAGGGGAAGGGGGTAGGCTATAAGTCATCTAACCATGTGTGACCAGGTTCCCTTTCTTCAGGAAACCTTTTGGACCATCCCAGTGCCTTGTGATCTCATTCGTGGAATTGAAAGGGAAAGCAGAGATCATCTAGTGGCTAGGGGATGTTAACCTGGGGTCCATGAACTTGTGTGGTTTTTTAAAAAAAAACAAACCAAAAAACCTCTTTCAATATAATTTGTTTCTTTTGTAATCCTATGCATTTTATCTCATGCATTTAAAAAAATTATTTTGAGAAGGAGTCCATCGGCTTCACCAGACTGATGGCCAAAGGGGTCCGGGACACAAAAAAGTTATAAATCCCTAAACTAATGCTCTTATTTTACAGATAAGGAGACTGAGGCTCAGATGGTGAGGGGATCTGCTCAGGGTTGCAAATGTAGATTCTGAACTCTGATTATCTTCCAAATCCAGCATTCTGGCCACTATCCTATGTCACCTCTCTGCTCACTCCTCTGAGTGCTGACACTTCTGACAGGCTGGCTGTGCCAGACAGTATACGGTACTTGGTAGATTTTACCTTGTGTTATTTTCCCCTTTTTAATTCCCTCCCTTATTCCTCCAGCACATGCACATCTCTCCCTCCTGTGAGCTACTATTGACACTCACTGACCTAACACAAGATAGTGTTACCTCATGGTCAGTGCTGGACTTGGAGTCAGAACTGGCTTCCAGTTCTGCCTCTGGCACTTACTAGATATCAAGTTACTTAACTTGTATAAACCTCAGTTTCCTCATATGTAAAATGGGGACAACACTATAGTCTATATCTATCACAGGGTTTTTGTGAGACTTAAATGAGATGAGATTTTATATATATAAAATATAAAAATATGTATGTATATATATATACACACATAGTATTTTGCAAACTTCTTCATCTATAAAATGAGAGACTGTGACTCTAAGGACCTTTCCAGTTCTAAACCAATGATCCTATGAAGGCACTTTATTCATTAGTATTTGGTACCTATTGTCTTTCACCTCTAAAGTCTGTGGGATTATGAGAATGTCAGCTGGAAAGGATTATATTCTATGCTCCAAGGTCCCATTTAGCTCTAACTTTCTATGTTCTAAGACACTTTCTGAATCTTTGTTATTCTTGGTCATTCAGTTGTGTCTGACTCTTCATGACACTGTGGACTATAGCATGCCAATACTGTCCATGGAGTTTTCTTGGCAAAGATACTGGAGTGGTTTGCCATTTCCTCCTCAATGGGTTAAGGCAAATAGAGGTTAAGTGACTTGCCCAAGGTCACAGAGCTAGGAAGTGTCTGAGGCTACATTTGAACTGAGGTCTTCCAGATTCTAGGCTCTGTGTTCTATCCACTGAGCCACTGAGCTGCCTCAATGTTCTATGGTAGGTCCCTTTAAGTTCTAATATTGTATTCTGAAGTCATGTTCTGCTATAACTTTCTACATTCTATATTCATCTCTCTAGTTATAATATTCTCAGTTCTAAATACAGAGGGATATCATGGTATAATGGAGATCTGGGTTTGAACTTTGGTTTCTTTCCTAAAAAAAAAAAAAAAATGGTCACAGGGCAATATGACCTACAACATATTTTGGGCCCTAGTTTTTTTTTTTCCTTTAAAAATTTTCAAGAGCTAGAAAAAATAATAAAAAGATTCATTTGGAATAACAAAAGGTCCAGAATATCAAGGTAACTAATGAAAAGAAATGCAGGGGAAGGTGGCCAAGCTGTTGTAGATCTTAAATTGTATTATAAAGCAGCATCATTAAAACTACTTGGTACTAGCTAAGAAACACAGTGGTAGATTAGTGGAATAGGTCAGGTATGCAAGACACAGTAGTCAATGACTATGGTAATCTACTATTTCATAAACCCAAAGACCCTAACTTCTGGGATAAGAACTCACTATTTGACAAAAACTGCTGAGAAAACTGGAAAAGAGTATAGCAGAAACTAGGCATAGACCAAAATCTCACACCATATACCAAAATAAAGTTAAAATGGGTTCATGAGTTAGATATAAAGGCTGATACTATAAGTAAACTGGGAGAGCAAAGAATAGTTTATCTATCAGATTTATGGAGAGCAGAAGAATTCATGACCAAACAGGAGATAGAGAACATTGTGAAATGCAAAATGGATAATTTTGATTACATTAAATTGAAAAGGTTTTGCACAAAGCAAGCCAATGCAACCAAGATTAGAAAACTGGGAAAGACTTTTTATAACTAGTGTTTCTGATAAGGGCCTCATTTCTAAAATATATAGAGAATTAAGTCAAATTTATAAGAATACAAGTCATTCTCCAATTAATAAATGATCAAAGAATATGAGTAGGCAGTTCTCAGATGAAGAAATTAAAGCCATCTATAGTCATATAAAAAATGCTCTAAGTCACTATTGATTAGAGAGATGCAAATCAAAACTATTCTGAGGTACCACATCACACCTATCAGATTGGCCAACATGACAAAACAGGAAAATGATAAATGTTGGAGAAGATGTGGGAAAACTGGAACACTAATGCATTGTTGGTGGAGTTGTGAAATGATCCAACCATTTTGGAGAGCAATTTGGAACTATGCCCAAAGAGCTATAAAAATGTGCATATCCTTTGACCCAGAAATAGCACTTCTAGGGCTGTATCCCAGACAGATCATACAGATGGGAAAAGGACCCACATGTACAAAAATATTTATAGCAGCTCTTTTTGTAGTGGCAAGGAATTGGAAATTGAGAGGATGCCCACCAATTGGGGAATGACTGAACAAGTTGTGGTATATGAATGGAATGGAATTCTACTGTTCTATAA